TTGCTGCTGATATAATGATCTTCATCACTGATGAAGGCCAAATTAATACTTTCATATTTTAGCAACTATTAATCTGAGTAAGTAGCCAAAGTAGTCATGTCACTTAATATAAAAGTATTTGTAACAGCACCACGTTGATGCTGATTTTCAAAGTGCAAAAGGTTACATTCCTCTTTATAATTTAATGGCAGGTGGCAAACAGGTTTTTGTCAACTGCCAAAAAATATCTTTGACTGAGGGTCATAAATGCTTCTTAGTTACAAAGAGCTGCTGCTCCAGTGAGACTCTGAAATACAGTGTGGTTTTGACTAGTTCAGTCATCTTATAACAGAAACACCTGTGCAGTATAATACAAAAAAACAAACAAAAAGAAAGTTGGATTGATAAAAATACAAAAAATCTTTGCACTTTGACCATGTTAAAGGCTGACAAGGTGAAAATCAAAATGTTTTCAGAGAGGTCAACTCCCACCAGCCCAGACTTGAACCTGAAACAGATGTTTTAAAATGAAGTTTTCTGAGATTGAAAAAGGTGGCTTGGTACAAAGCACAAAAACATTTTCAAATTTATACACATTAGTTTGGAAAAGAAAGACAGAAATGGGTTCAGAGGCCAGACTTGATGGTGAAAAGGGAAGGTTGTTCCACAGTCTATGTGTCTGACCCTCATTTATCTTCAGCAAACCAATAGACAGCAACTTGAGGTCATATGATATATCAGGCATTATAGAGAAAACTTAAGTGATCTACGACATCAGAGACATATCAAGAGACAAGGCTATTGAGAATCTGATAATCAAACAGTAAGTTCTTGTATTTGATTCCAAACTGAAAGCTAAGTGGAGCTACTACCTGAGGAGGATACAAAAATTGTCTCTCTTAACTGAAAAGATTGACATGATAAAAGGTGAAAACTACCAGCCAGTATGCTGAAGACCATGCAAACGTGAGCTCCAGAATGAACAAATGTGGCACAGTCATGTCATGAGGCATCAGTGGGCATTTCAACATCCTCATATGTGCTCAGTTTTTCTTGATTAAGCCTTGAAACCAGATTGAAATGGATCATATGTGACCCATAGGAGTATACTGTTTTGTGCTGTAGCATATTGTCAGTCATAACATTTAAGGTGGCGTCTTATTATTTTTAAAAAGCATAGCATAGATGACTGATCAACATCTATAGAAGGAGATAAAAGGATAACTCATTGGTGGATCTCTGAGAGAGCTGAAGTTGCAGACAGCTACAACCACAAACTAGAGATGGCCCCTGCAGTTCATACTAACAAGCAAATTGTCCAAACATACACAACAGGGCAGCTGCAGTGTGTGTTTCACAGATGCAGCTGAGACACCATTCTAACAGAGAAAAGAGAGACTGCGTTAGACCATCACTACTGTCTGTCAGTCAAAAGAGGATATGAAACAGTGGAATGGAGATAAGATGAGGAAGTGGAGTCACACATTCAGCACATGCCCTGAAACGTCCCACCCACACTCACCTCTGATAGATCATGGGTCATGTTGTCACATAGCACATGCCAAGCTGTCATTCCTGTGGATTTCTAGAAAAAGTCCAAATAACAAACTTATATTGTGGTTTGGTTCTTTGTTTGTCTTTTTTAAGGGAAACCCAGTAAACCACACAGACAGTTCCTCATACACATTTTACTAGTCTAGTCACGAAATGGCAAGACAACTATCCAGGTCATGGGAGATCTGTCCATATGGCAAACGGATGAAGCTGTGTTTACACACTCCTGATGCTCTTTCACAGTAGAGTACGTCCATTGAGCCTTTGTCAGTGTGCCTGTGTATTAGTGTGTGTGTGTGTGTGTGTGTCCCTTCGTACGGCTGCTTCTGTTTACCTGAAGAAAATTAACCCTATGGTCAACACTTACAAGCGGACATGAGTCCAATGAGGCTGAAAATATAACCCACACAACACTTTTCCATATACGCAGCTCACAGGATGCACTGCTTGTGCTAATTTGTGACCGTTTGTGACAAGGTGATCAGCTTGTGCGTGTCACACATTCAAACACACTTACAATATACACGTGTAGACACAAGCCAGGAAGGAGAGATGCTCCAATGCAGCCAGTAGTTTGATAATTAGGATCTTAATTAGAACAGTTAGTCAAAGTGGTCACCTCTCCTGTGAGGTTTGAGTACTTGAAACTCGACTCTGTTTTCCTTTGTTGGCCATCTGAGCAGGTTGCAGCTGTGCTATTGGACAGAGAGAGAGAGAGCAATCACTCTGTCAGGCGTAAATGCTGCTCTCAAGTGACCTCTGACCTTGCTGACAGTGACCTCATAGCTCAGTGTGTTTACTGACCCCTGACCTTTCATACTGTGTGCACTCTGTAACCCCACTGACTCCTCCATGTGCATCTGTCCCATTCTCAACTGTGCTTCAGCATTGTACACACACATGTTCTGGCAATGAGAGAGGAAGTGAGTGCAGTGCAGGTATAGGTCAAAACAACTACACTTCCACAGCTGGTTATTATATAGAAATTTAGTCTCATCAGTAAATATTACTTTGACACTGTGTAATGTACCAGATAGCACATATATCGACAGTGATTTTCTATGACCACTTTGACAGGATTTTAGTTCAGAGGCATTATTAGGAAAATTATAGGCACGTGATAAAATTGCGATACAATAACTCAATTAAATTGTTTTATTTGCATGCTGTAGCGCTGCATTAGTGTGACAGATACAGCTAAACCTTGTATGCCAATGCTGATAACCAGAATATCTATCTTTCTGATGTGGTTATACACCAGAAACATTTACATGAATAGAACTGAAATTAGAGAGATGGCAAACCATACAGAGACAATGGAAGAGAGCTTTTGTGTCTTTAGAGGAGAATGATAATTCAGGTGTAACCATCAGGTTACAATTCTGCAACATGTGGAAAAAAACTCAAAAATAGCTTGTAGCATGTTCTAAATACATCCACTGAGAGTGTGTGTGTGTGTGTGTGTGTGTGTGTGTGTGTGTGTGTGTGTGTGTGTGTGTGTGTACATATGTTAATGGATGCACTCATAAATTACTAATGCACCCTAACACACAGTATTTGTACACAACATGCATATGAAACATATTTCTACAAAAATATTTCTACCCATAGTCATTCAAATGCTTCATTATTGCCGATTGTTTTATCATTGCTCTGGCTGGCTTTTGGTTTCCTGTAGCTGCAGTTCCCTAAAACCCACCTCCCATGATCTATGTCATAAATCATCATAGACTTAGTTTATTAGAATAGCTGAGGTCTTGATTTTCTATTTTTGGTAACTCACTTCATGAGCTGTGACCATAGTGTTTTATAACACAAAATGGTCACAACTGGATTAGTGCTAATGTTAATATCAGAGGGGAATTTTCTTAGAAACACACTAAGAATGAAAGTAGACACATCGTGAACGTAAGCAGAACCTTGGAAAAAAAGATGCACTCCTCAGTCACAAGTTATCAGACCTACTGAAACCTGTCTGCTCTGACCTTTGAACCTTATTGTTTTCTCTGGAGAAGGGTATGGTTGATCACAGAGACACGGCAGAGAGGTCAGGAGTCAAGCAACAAGGTCTGATGTCAAACAGTTTGTTGGTGTGATATAAGGTGGCACACATACTCTAAGGAGACATGTAGCTCAGCCTACAGGCCTACGAGTAGACTAGTTGTTGAGGGAATAAGGTTTGTCTGTTACTAGAGCAGCCAACGCAACCTGTTCAATCCACAAAGTCTTGTTTTGATGGTTACTTCTGTCATCATCATCAGCAACACTCATAAAACTGTAAATCTTCAAATATACAATGATCAAGATAAATAACTTGGTATGGCACAAGTTTTAGGACCACAATAATTATAAATGATTTCTAGATGGATTACTGTAAAAAAAAATCCTTCTTTATAAAGTCAAATAGTTTGAGTATAGTCTACAGTAAAACACGTGGTTCCTTCTAAAATTACAACTTAATCCCAGCTATAAGGCATATGTCATTATTGTCATTATAATGACACTGCATCACTGGATAGCAAAGATGCAGGCTCACTAATAATAACCACACCGTATGTAAATAAAGCCCACTCTGCAGAGAGGGGGCCAAAGGGGAAATAAATGGTCAGTGGTGGTGCCTTCATTATTTTTGTGTTGGCACCATGCAGGACCTTCAAGGAAAGCACTTGAATAAGCAGCAGAGTGTTCCCATCTGTACAGTTTACAGTCACAGCTTATACATAGCACCATACCGCTGGGGCTGAGGTGTTGTCACTGATACCAGCCTGGCTACTGTGTATATATGGCAAGAAGGGCAGCTCTAAGCAGAGACTCGCAGATGACGGTAAAGGGGGGAAAGAGGTGCATTATGGCCTAACTCAGTGGGTCCTAATGTAGTACCACTGTCCCTGTCAAAAAGGAAAGCAGCTGAATTTCAGAGCTATTTTATTTTATATTATTATGTTATTCTATTTTAGAATTATTATAACTTTCTGTAAGATCCATTTACTTAGAAATATCTGAAAATGGCATCTGAACGTAATGCATATGAAAATGTACTGAATGTCTACTTTGCTCTTTATGACCTGTATGTGCTACTACCCAAGTCGAGTAAAGAAAACAAGAAATGGTTCTCAATTTGGCACTGTGATTCGTGATGCTTGCAGCCTGAATGTAAAGTTTAAGGATGAAAGATGGCTGTAAGCTAGCACAGCTACAGGTCTCGTCTGGCAGACCGGCATAAATATTTATTTAACTATTCTGAAATGATTTAACAACATTTAAGTGAAAAGTATGGGGTTAGGGCAGCCTTCAATTTCCTAAGGACAAATAATAACTTGGCTACAATTCATTTAAGCTCAATAAATCACAAAACTTTGAATGTACAGAGAGAAAACGCAGTTAAAATTCATACTCGCTGGGTTTCCAGAGGTGTTGGCGTTTCAGCAGAGGCTACATTTCAGTGGCGGTGGTGAAATATCACTTACCCGCTCTGAAGGTCAGACAGTACGAAGTAAAGAGTCAGGTTCAAGAAAAGTGCGTGTCCACTTCTCTTTTCATGCTTTGATAATACCGACCCTCTCAGTCACTACCAGAGGAAAAAAAAAGTCGTGTTAAAGGGAAAAAAACTTTGGAGTTTTAAGTTTCTCTGTATTTCCACAGACTGCTGCAGCGTGTGCAACCGCTGGAGCCTCGGAGGCTAATTTGTTTTCGTTTCGTCCGACGAGATGTTGTCACAACTCGAAGCGTCTGTGGTCACCTGTGCCACCGCCAATGGCAAAGCGCAAATGGGTTTGTGGGAAATGTAGTTTTCTCATATCCTCGACCGGCTCTGTGATATTTTGAGGGGATGACGTGACGCATGTTGACAGCAACGGGAGTTTTAAGAGGTCCTTCCAGGATGAACACGACTGAAGGGAGAGAACTTTATTTCTATTATTTTTTTCCTGTCTGCAATTGAAACGCTGCTTTCAGTCTATTTCTATATAGTGGCCTCAAGTTTACATATTTATGTCCGATTTAGTTTAGTCCCATTTAGGTTTCAGTGTTAGGATACATGGGCTATTCTGCAATTTACATCATGACCCGGTGATCTTGTATTTCTGAGGCCATGGTCTGCGATTTATGGACAGTCTTAGATTTAATCATAGGCTCCACATGCTGTTGATTCAGCTTTTTTCTGTCTGTTTTATAGTGCACTGCTACTGACATGACTGCTGTCTGTATTTCAGTATGTTGATGGTCCAGTTCTCGATGTGACATTTTCTTATTTCACTAGTCAGAAAAGTATATAGCATGTGAAATTGTACAAGTACACAAACAGCATGACAAGCATTCATACATACAAAGAGGTGTGATGGATGCCCTTGCATTATCCAGTGACTGTTGGTGACCGATATGTGGAGTATGGATGACTAAGGTGTTCAGCAGGGGTAGTACCCAGTATGACCACGAGTGAAAAAGAAAAAACTAATATTTTGTAAATCAACATTTTATTAGAGAAGACTGGAGGCATTTATCATGGGCAGTTTGAGTTTTAATTTCAGTGCAGTAAGTTTGTCTATACGAGGAAACTCTCATCTGATAAAACTAGACCACCCACTAAAACAATCAACTGTTGCTAACCAAAACATCCAAATGTCTTATGCTATGGGGTCCTGCCATCAGCTATCGTTTTACTTCTACAAGTGTAAATTGCAAAGGGCTAATCTAATGATTTTTTTCCCTTCACAATATATATCTCTGTATGTGCAAATCAATCCAAGTGAAATGATTTTAACTGGTCGATAAAACAATGTAAGTGATAGCTCTCTTTCCCTCCATAGCACTCAATCAAGTATGTGACTGTTATGATCCTACTCACATTTAATACGCACAAGACAGACCACTTTAAACTCTTAGAGTCATTCAAAGTTGAGACTGAGATTCCAGAGATGGCAGTAGGGGGCATGGCTCACATAATCAGCAAGGAGACAATCAAGATGTTTTTAGCCATGAAACACTTAAAAGAAAAGAAACACTGCCCAAATCAGCAGATGAGTGGGTGACGTCTGAAGTAAATCATCTCTTTGGCCCCTTCATTGTAGAACAGTGTCATTAATTCACATAATACTAAGTGAGGCTGCCATGAATTAAATACATCCAGAAAAAAATATGGTTTTAAAAAACGAGTAATACAACTATGTTGGTGCAACATTGTCAAAATTCAAATCAATGCAAAAATCAAGATATTTTACAACTTTCAAGTGAACATAAAAGAGACTGAGAGGGCAGTGAAAATGTTCCACCCTGTTGATCCTTGAGTTCTCTTCTACAAAATGTGTCACACACGTAGGTCCAACATGCAACTATGTTGTATGTGTTGATGAATGATGGATTTTTTAAAAATATTTTATGCAACCAGTAGAGACAAATACACATTACTCTCTGCCATGTGTTTAGGGCCGGGTAATATAGATATCAACCATAGCTGTAATCATGTCACAGTATTTTCTATACTGTGAAACACTTTTGTGCAATTTTAACAATTTTAAGTTCGATTTCTCCCAGAACGATCTGAAGGATCTCACTGATTTCCTAGACAATCTGATGTGGTTTTTAATATATTATCACATCAAAACAAGCACTGATTTTAGATGATGATCTTGGTTATCATGATGTTTATTACTTTTCTATGTTACCCAGCCCTACACCTCATTGTTTTCAGAAAGACTCAGGAACTGGTAGCGCTGAGGAGTGTTGAAAGAGAAGAGGGACTGCAACTGTAACTATTTGGACATCAGCAGATTTGTATAAACAGATAACAAGCACAGTGTGCTGAGGAATAATGCTCATATTGTACGATTCTGCAGTAAACAATTTATGTCCGATGCCAATGTAGGAAGAACCAAATAACACCATCAAGATCATTTTTCTGTTTGGTGAGAGGGATGGAATTAACAGCAGGGTTCTTGGAATGAGAATCTGCTGCAGCAGGAACCAAGAGGGCAGGACTCCTATGTAGAGGGTACATAGGGGTATTGTGGATGCCACCAGTCCATGAGCCTCACACTGTGTACTGGATCCAACACCACCTGGGTCCCGCCCTGATCCCCCCTCTTCTTCCCCCGACGGAGCGGCGCGTCCTGGAACATCAGACGAACGCGGTGGTGGCGCATGTCTGTGCTGACGTTGATTGTGAACTACGAGACAGACAGAGACAGACCAGTGTGGATTAGGAGAAGTTCATTGTTTCGTTGTCTGTGATCAAGCAGAGAAGACAACATTAACTAAAGGTATCTATTGGCAAACATAATAAAAATGCATTAGTTAGCATATCTTTAACAAACTTACTGCCAGTAGGTGGAGATGTTCTGCTTTTATGGGGCTGTGATGAAGACCTACAAACTATTTGAAAATGTAGCTCATATAAAAACAACTCCCTGCTCTCTAGGAATCACCCAAACTAGACTTTTTTAACAGTTTATGGAATGAGGTGGTCTGACTGATCGGATCGCAAATGCATCCTCAATGCATCTTGGGTGCGTTCATAACTGTGCTTTGAGCTGTGATTGGATCATCCAAGATGGATGTAAATGCCAGGTCTTAGGCCAACCTCTGCTCTTACTTTTTACTTAAATAATGTGAGCTGACTGACAGTAGAGTTGGAGATTGTATCATTAAAAACCAAAATGACCTACTAGTTGTGGTTGTCGTGTCTCAGCCTTTTCTAATTTAGGTATTACAGTTACTTTCACTCAGTAAACTGCCTTAAAACATTTTAATATTTCAATTTTATTTCCAAATGTTAATGGTCGACATCAATCTCATAAACATAGTAGTACATAGTTTAAAAAGATAACTGAGAAGTACTAACCAGGGTCAGTGTCATGCCCATGACCACAGGGGTGAAGATGAAGTTGAGTGTAGTGACCTGAAGCACATAGCAGTCAGAGTCCGGGTTTGTGTGGACGTCTTCATATTGTCTGGGAAAGTGCAAGGACTTGGCACAACCATTCTTACTGTGTACTTGCTGCAATGGAGATAGAAATATACACAACACAATCATGACAGCAGGAGCCACAGTAGGCTATTACCAATGTGTTATGAAGCTAATATTCAGGAAAGAAATTTAATTGGTTTTGAGGAACTCTTTACCTGTTTTATAAACTTGAAGTTGAACTCCCACAATGCATCTGGTCGAGTCCCTGACACCCTCTTGACCCAGAACAGTAAACACTGTAGCAGGAAAAAATAAGCATATAAAAGGGCAGTTTCTACAGTGTAAGCCTGGGACATCAGTTTCTGTCTTAACAAACATGCAGAGATAAGTTTGTTCCCAATTTCCTTCTTATAAGGATGATAAAAATGCAAAACTAAGAAATTAGAAATGTATTGTCTGTTTAAATTTCAATGTCTCAAACTGTGTGCTGTGGGTTGAGAGTAGAAACAAACATTAAACCAAAGGTCTTAATCATGAAACAAGTTCAATTTATTCTGGCTATTCTAGGGCTGCTTTGATTCATCGAGTCTAAAATTGTCCTTACACGGTTCATTTACCTTAGAGTTGAGCAAGGTTGTGGGTGTTGATTCTGGCAGGGCAGGGATTTTTGAGACACGCAAGCTGAACGGCTCATACAAATGGAAAAGGGAGCGAATGACACGGGCCCGTAGACAGCGCATCATGTGAATAGTGTCAGGCTGCAGACGAAACGGCAGATCAACATCAATCCTATAGTGTCTTTAAAAAAGAGAAAACAGAAGGTGAGAGGGAAAGAAAACATGTTAATCATATGTCAGTTTGTCTGTCATGTCTTTGCTGATTTATTGGACCACATTCAAAACATTTTTCACACACACACTGCAGATGAATGATAAGATCCTCAGTTTGAAAATAAATAATCAACTTTACATGTATGGTATTTTCCATCCCGAAAAATGTATTGTTTTTACGTTGTTTAAAAATAAAATGAAGCCATGGATAGTACAGAGGCTCTGGTTTTATTCCCAGTTGCACTTTCACAACTTCTGTCTTTTGAGTGAATCAGCAAATTAGCTTTAGACTGAATACATCAATCCATGAAATCCCATCAAAACTGCCACCTCTGAAAATGATCAATAAAACCACCTCACCTTCTGTAGAGCCTGCTCCAAAAAGCTGCGGTGCAAGTGACTGTCCAGGCATTCCTACAGATTAGAGCAAATCTGCACACATCCTCAGGCCGAATATAGGAGGAGAGCACTAACCAAATATCCACTGGATACTCCCCTCCATCGCTGCTCTCACTGCTCTCTGTGAAGACAACATGCAAACATCACAGTAAATAACCAGGAAATCTTGAATCTTGTGCTTTCAACACATTCGTCCATTAATGTGCCAAAGAACAAATTACAAATAATACCCTTTCTCCTTTTGTTTTTCTTCTTGCGGGCCACTTTAGTTTCATTTTCTCCATCTTCCTCGGGATCCAGGTCATCACTGCTGTCCAAAGCGTCTGTTTGGACACTCACTGCAGACGAGAGGACTTCCTCTACAGCACCCTGAGATGCTTCCAGCCCACAGAGTAATTTTACTGGAAAAAGCACACATTTATATGTATATTGATAAGTAAAGCACGTGAATCACGAGGCTAGACGAGACTACTGCACTGTCACAGGTTTACCTTCTTTTGCAACTGCATTTGCAACAGCCTTTTTCACCCTCCCCGATTTCACAACGGCTGGGTCGGCATCAGCATAATCAGCAACGGTCACTAGGAAAAAAAAAAAATCACACTTTCTAATTATGATACTGTTTGAATGTCATTTTTCTTTAAAACATTTTAGCAAAGCCTGCTGTGACCACTACTTATAGTAAGTGAAACACACAACCCATCTGTCAAACAACTTTAGCACTAACACTAAACACTAAAGCAAGACCTCACTTCTAATGTAATGTAGTATAACACTTTAGTCAAAGAACTCATATTGAACTTTTTAAAATAACGGGTGAACTATATCAGTTCTAGCCGTGTGTTGAGTGCTAACAGTGGGCGAGCTAGCTTCTAAACGTAATGTACCTGATTCCGAACAAACGTCCCCAGCCCTAAATTTCAGCCGTTTTCGGTTCCCTTTCTTGGGCATGTTGACACCAATGATCTGCGAACGCTTAACGGGGGTGTGAGTCCTGCCATGTCTCTATGGCAAGCCGAGGTAGATAGAAAGAAAGAAAAATGAGAGAGAAATTGAAAAATGTTCCGCCAGGATCTTCAGCCATCATGGAATGACGTGATGTTGGAAGTAACGCGAGAGTATCGTTGTCGTTTGGTGCTTTTTTTTCGTCTGTTGCTTTACTGCCATCTACCGGTAAGTACGAATACTGCAACGATTCCTCTTGACTTAAAGGTGTAGAAAAATGAGTCAGCCCCATTATTTCTATGTGCCAAGTAAATTTGTGGTAAAATATCTACAAATTGAGCTTTGATGTATATTTTTGTTTCACTTGTTGGCTACTTGTAGGAACAGTAACCGGGCTATTTTCCAGAAAGCTTTGCAAACACTTAGGCCAAGATCTACTTATCTACTTAAGTATTTCCATTCTCAGTTCATTGTAAATATTTTATATTAATGCTCTTTATGTATTTGATATTGTTATTTAAGTACTGTGGTGCTCAATGGCTACTTATATGGTGGTTCTAAATGTTGCTGACATTATTGCTTGATTAGCGATTTATATTATTATATTATACATATATATGATTTTTTTGTACTCCTTACTCACTTTGTCTACGATTGAATGGCCAAAGTTTCAGAAAATTGTGTGTCTGCAAGAACAGACATAAAAGAGTTCAGTTAAAGTGCTGCAGAGTGATGGGGCACAAAAGGTCAGCTGTTATCTATCATATGGCATCATAAAAGGTGCTGTCTATAAGTGAGGAACTTCAGTTAGATATCAATTTCTCCTCTTTTTTAACATGATCTTTTATTTTATTTGAATTGTTTTTCACTAAATGTCTGTCACATTAACTGATAAAGAGGTTTTAATGATGCCACCCAATAAAGAAGTAAATAAGTTGTCAGCAAACAGAGGTTAATTAATCAGGTGTCTGCTGAAAATGAAGGTTTTGGAGAAAACATTTTCTCAAGGTATTCCTGCAAAATCTGCTGCCCATCTGACTTCACTGAGGTGCCATGAGATGATTTCTGTGTCACTTGTTTTATCTGCTCATCCACTCCCCACTCAACAGGCATGTCAGAAAGTGACTGAAAGCACAGATCCTTTTTTCACTCTGCCACTCATAAGGTTGCTAATACATCACTGAGCCAGGTAGACCAACCATCTGTCAGAAGATACTGGCAGAAATCATTACCAGGTACAATGTCATCAGCCCCAAAAATCATAACGCTAAAAAAGTCCTGTGTGCAGTGACCTATGTAAGCATCTTGTAAAAGTGCTGCAGGCCACTACAGCAGAGTGGCTGTTAACAACATCGTTGCCAAGACCTTGAAAACTCAGTTGCACAATGCCACGTCTCCTAGGGCAAATTCCTAAAGCAAAATTAGTTTTTGGAGAAATGTGATGCAGTTCAAAGAACACCAAAACAAAACAAAAAAAAAAACAAAATAAAAAAAAAAACAAAGGTGATGCTTGTACCTCTAGCCATGAAAAATGACTCCCTGACAATTAGGCTAAGTAATCAGCACAATGACTCATTTCCTCCAACTTTAGAGATGTGTCAGAGGAATTGTCAGGAGAAATCAGGTTCTTCTTGATTGTGGCAAGAGTTCACATGAAACCCTTTGCATCAGAGGATCTTCAGGAGCTTCAGTGTTGTCAAATATCTTACGACCACTATGAATTTTTAGTCATCGCCATCTTGTAACACAGAATATTGATTTCACCTTAAAGGTAACAATTCACTCAGTTTTCTCCCCATAATAAGATTGCCTGTCCTTGTACAGCAAGATCTTTTGATCAATAACAAGAACAAGATCTATTCTCATTGTTATTATTCCAACCTCCGCCATTAAAATCTGATTAAATCTCACTTGCTGACAGACCCTGGTAATTTGGCCTCAACACATGAAAACCTTCTCATATCTTATGTCCACATCTTACACCTTATGTATCCCAACTATAACCCTTTCTTTAATTAAAGGGGAAATAATGTCAGATAAATTGCAATCTAAATGGTTTATATTACCATAAAACTAAACTAAATTAATAATCTGGTTATGTTGTAACCTCAGTCGTAAGTATTTGTCAGATGGACAGAATTCTCCATTCACCATCAAATAAATGCTCATTTACATTCATTTACATTAACATTCATTGTAGCTGAATAAAATGGTACAGAAGAAAAAGGCCATAACTGGAGTTGTAATTTTTTAGAATTAGAATTAGAAAGCTTTTTTTTTCAGAATAAATGTAATACAGACCAAACAGCGGTCCAGTGGCCTAATAGTAACGATTACTGTGAGGGGGTGAATTACTGAAGAGTTTTACCTAAATACACAACAGGTCATCCCCAGAAGAGGTCAGAGTTGAAAATACTGAAGTTTGCAGCACTGCCTCAGTGAATCTGTTTTAACCACTAGGTGGCAACGAATAGCCATCACTGTTTATTCTTTGAAGCTTCTAAGACATGCTTCACACCTTAGAAGTGAAATTTAATTAAATAAGGCTTTCAGACTCATAATTGTGCACCGATTGTATATACATATATACATTTGCTCTATTCTCATATACTCAAATTCTCCCAACCTTTATCTTAATAACATTCAATTCAAATGTTCAGCAACCAAACCCCTGCAGAACCTCATCAGTAGAACATAATTTAAGTATATAAATCTGATGATAGCTCAGTCACCCATACTGTAAATCATTTTCTCTTCACATTGAACAGAGATGTAATCCAGTCATTTCATTGTGATTTTTTTTTTTTTTTTTAGGCTCTTGTTCTTTAAACTTTCAATAGTGCTCACACTTAAATATCTGGCAAACAGGCACTTTATTTGAGTCTAGCAAGGGCATTTTAATGCCTTGGAGAGGTTTTATTTATGTATTAAAGTAATTGGTCAAAACCAGACTGTCTCACAAAAAAGTCACCAAAAAATACATACATACAAGCATACATACCACATCAGTAAAATAGTGGTGTAGGTATACTGAGCACTGGCACAGTGTGAGGTAGATATACATCAGGGTCTTGCTGCTGTGGAGTAACAACCACCAAACGTAAAGAGTCAGAGTTAGTCATTCAGAGTGAGGCACGTCTAAAACACAGTGTTAGGAGATGCCCCAGACTTTCCTTTCAAATATTACCAATAGTCTATTTATAATTTTAGGGTCCATTTCAATCCTGCAGGGTGCGCTGCATAACCTGCTCTACAACCTGCCTCTCTGGCTTGGTTAAGATGATGCCACCAGAACGCGCATCATGGCTCAGGAGCCGTTAGGTTGTGAACGTGCTTAGTGGTGCTGATGTGAAAAGTTAATTACATTTCACCAAGTACTGGTCAACTCTGCGCTAGCTGTTGTAACACGATATGGCCCACGTGTGGAATTGTGATTAGGCTGTTATAGATGACATGAATGACCGAGCACCTAATTCCAGTCCTCTGATTTGCATATGCATGTGGTGCAAAACGCGCATAGGCTGATCGCGGGGAGTTGGTCCCTTATTTCCAGAGCTGTGGCCCGGTAGTGACAACTGCAGATTCCCGTGTGTGTGTGTGTGTGTGTGTGTGTGTAACAGAGCTACTGTGTGAGTGTGGGAGGAGGAGTGAGCGTCGGTTAGGTGGCGGTGAGGAGAGATGGAAGCGGAGAAGGCGGATGCAGATAAGACTCGCTCTCGCTGTGGCCAGGACTAAGGACGCAGATTAAACGTCTCCCCTCGGATATTTTTTTGTGGTTTTTTTTTTTTTTAATTTTTTTTTTTTTTTTTACTATTTTCCTGCCGATGTAGGCTACTATGATCTCAGTCGTTCTACCGGGCACCACCCCTCCAAACGCACCCGTCTATCTCTGAGCTGTCAATCATATCACGCCGGGATTTCTACATGTGAGTGCATGGCGCGCCGGGCAGGGCGGATCAGCTCACTGGGTGAAAAAACGCCGGTTAATATGGATGAAAGGTCAATCATCATCGCGTCATTTCAATCACTCTGATTAGGTAAGGCGATATAAAGCTTAAGACTGAACGTCTGATGCACAGGAAATTTAATGTAGCCTAGTGGGAATAAGGCGCGTATCAAGGATTGTGCGTCGCTACGGGGCGTTTTAAGGCCCCCTTATCAGTTACTGTAAGTCTGTTTATCAGCCTTGTAAGACACATATTTCCCTTCTTAATCCCGACAGCGACACTGTCCTGTAGCGTTGCCCAGACCACAGAGCAGGAAAGATGATGTGCGAGGTGATGCCGACCATCAGTGAGGGAGACTCGGCTGGTCCTCCGAGAGGCACCGGCGGCGTCCCGAACGGCTCGGACCAGGAGGCCAACTTTGAGCAGCTGATGGTCAACATGCTGGACGAGAGGGACAAGCTGCTGGAGTCCCTCAGGGAGACTCAGGAGACCCTCATACAGTCTCAGACTAAGCTGCAGGGGGCGCTGCACGAGAGGGACGTGCTCCAGCGGCAGATCAACGCTGCGCTGCCTCAG